ATTATTAATAGTTTTTATTTTTTCTACATCGTCAGTCCTTCTTTCTGCTCTGCCAACATGTACAGTGATGGTAAATCCAGACTCTTGACTGATTTATGTCAGCCATTAGCTTCTGCAGCTGATCACATGGTCACCTGGTTTCTGAGCTCCAGCTGTTATTTATACCTCCATGACTGGAGGCCAGATTAATGTCATCCAGAGGAGCTGAAAGGCTACAAAGTTGATCCCTAAGATGTTCAGGTCCAAGAACCAGAACCTCTGTCTTATCTGAGTTTAGAAGCAGAAAGTTAAGAGTCATCCATGTTTTTATGTCTGGAAGACATGCTTGTAGTTTAATAACTGGTTGGATTCATCAGGTTTCATGGTTAAATATATTTCAGTACCATTACTATGAGTATATACTTAAAAGTATGAGATCATCACAAATAATATTGCTGTGCAGCATGCTTGTTTTTTTATTTTATATTATGTATTTACCTTTATTTAATCAGTCAAATCCTGTTGAGGTGGCAGATGTCTTTTTCAAGGGAGGCCGTGGCCTGAAGGCAACCTGTTGTACATGTTTTTTATTTCCTCTGACGTTTTGTACATTTGTCTTATTTTGATGTGTTTCTATATGAACAATGTTTGATTTGACTTTAATCATGTGTCCATCTTTCTGTTAGGTCCCTCTGCTGCAGGCTCATCCTCAGCTGAAGCAATGCGTGCGTCAGTCAGTGGAGAGGGCGGTCCAGGAGCTCGTGCATCCTGTGGTGGATCGTTCCATCAAGATTGCAATGACAACCTGTGAACAAATCATCAGGAAAGATTTCGCCCTGGATTCTGAGGAGTCCCGCATGCGTGTAGCTGCACATCACATGATGAGGAATCTGACTGCTGGTATGGCCATGATCACATGTCGTGAGCCTCTGTTGATGAGCATCGCCACCAATTTGAAGAACAGCTTTGCTGCTGCACTCAGGGTAAACTGAACATGTAGCCTTATGTCACTGATTACTGGATGTTTAAATTGTTAAAACAAATCAGTCATTTCAGGCCTAGGTGTCTTATCAAATTTCCTTTATGCGTTATTTATACTTTCTTTTTTTCATAGGCACCGACCCCCCAGCAGAGAGAGATGATGGAAGAGGCTGCTGCCAGAATTGCCCAGGACAACTGTGAGTTAGCTTGCTGTTTCATTCAGAAAACAGCTGTGGAGAAGGCTGGCCCTGAAATGGACAAGAGACTAGCCACGGTGAGATTTTTACTGGGACAGAGCTTTGTGTTGACTGGGATTCATACAGTTGATGGAATCATGATAACACCCTGTCTTAAAGGATCCAGGATTAGTTGTAACATTTCAATTTATTTGACAAACATTTATTTTAACTGTAAAATAAAGACCGTAAAAATACTGTAGGATGGTTAGTTTTGTAAATTTTTAAAAATATATTTTAACATGGACAGAGGGGGGGACAGGTTTTTCCTACAATGTGGGGACAATTTTACCAAAAAAAAAAAAAAGCAGCCAGGTAGGGACCGAAGTGAATCGTGGGGAATGCATGTTCCAGGTGTGGGGTTAGGTTTAGGACCAAGGTTTAGGTTAGTTTTAGGCTCAGGTTTAGGACCAAGGTTTAGGTTAGTTTTAGGCTCAGGTTTAGGACCAAGGTTTAGGTTAGTTTTAGGCTCAGGTAAGTTTCTGAGGTTAATTTTAGAGTATATGGTCAGGGTTAGGATATAAAGTCTAAAAAACATGAATGGAAGTCAATGGAAGGTCCCCACGGGTCCAGAAACAAACGTGTGAGTGGTGGTTGTGTTGGTGGGGCATGAAATTATTTTTATAAACTAAAGGGGGGCCCATCAGAAAATGTTTGGGAAGCACTGAGCTAACCTGAGGTCCTCCATCCATATTCTCAGGTACAGCTGAGTCATTTTTGTGTTCCCCTCTCTGTCAGGATGGAGGACCTCAGTGATGAGAGGAGAATGTGTAGCACTGAGCTAATACATATATATATGGCGATAGCATCTGGGCTGAAGCTAACAGGCTAAGACGCCTAATCCCTGTGATATGTGGTCATGGTGAGGACTCAAACCAGTGACGTGGACCCAAGTCAGCTGTCCTACCACAGCACCACAGACAAGACTGTTAGCAGACTGCAGTTGTTGTTTTAGTGTCTTAACAGCTGGATTTAATGAGTCCCAGCTGCTGTTTACAGTCACATCATTGATCAAACAACCCAGCTGGTGACATCATAACATTAACATTTGACCTGTTTGAATGCTGATGCACGTTGAGTCAAAGCTTGGCTGATGGCACTGAAGGCTTGCTTTGTGTGTTTTCTTTCTGCTACCTGTAGAAACAAAGTAAACCAACAGCTCGTCACAACTCCAGGGCACACACTGAGGCTGTTCTTTTCTTTGTTTTCAGGAGTTTGAACTGAGAAAGCACGCTCGCCAAGAGGGCCGCCGCTACTGTGACCCTGTTGTTCTGACATACCAAGCTGAACGAATGCCTGAACAGATCAGACTCAAGGTAGGATCACTGGAACAGCTTTCATTTGTTCCTTTTCCTAGGTTTTCTCCCTGAACCACAACTCTTGTGCTGGTTCTCTGTCCAGGTGTTCACACCTGTTGAGTAAGAAATGCTTGTCCATGTTGCAGGTTGGAGGGGTGGACCCCAAACAGCTGGCTGTTTATGAGGAGTTTGCCAGGAACATCCCAGGTTTCTTACCAAGCAATGATCTGTCTCAACCCACTGGCTTTTTGGCTCAGCCCATGAAGGTGAATTTATCTCCTGTGACCATCCCAAAACAAAACGTAAGAACTGAACTGGTGTCAGAAAGGGGAACTTTAAAGGTTTCTGCATGCTTAATAACTTAAAAAGATGTTCATTACCTCAGATTATTGGTGTTTTATTAGAATTGAATTTTATTGGGGGGAACCACCAACATTGAAATGAACAGTTTGTTTGTTTGACTGTTTTTAAGTGTGTCTTTATTTCTGTTTTAGAACCAAGCATGGGCCACTGATGATGTGGCTCAGATCTATGATAAGTGCATAGCAGACTTGGAGCAGCATCTTCATGCCATTCCTCCAGCACTTGCCATGAACCCTCTGACCCAGGGTCTGCGTAGTTTGCTGGAAGCTGTGGCTTTAGCCAGGAACTCCAGGGATGGCATCGCTGCACTCGGCCTCCTGCAGAAGGTACAACACTTTGACTCCAGTGTTTGCTGGATAAGCTTTTCTCCTTGCAGGCATGCTTGGAGCAGCTTCTCTAACTGCACAGCTGGGGTTTGTGCTTCAGAAATGTGTCAACAAAGACTGAACCTTGTGCTGATGGAGTTGTTGCTTTGCTCTGTATTTTCCAGGCTGTGGAAGGTCTTCTTGATGCTACAAGTGGAGCTGATGCTGACCTGCTTCTGCGCTACAGAGAGTGCCACCTGCTGGTGCTGAAAGCCCTGCAGGATGGGCGTGCTTATGGACCACAGTGGTGCAATAAGCAGATCACCAGGTTAATAGACTTTTTGTATGGCAGGCTTGTGAAAGTTGTTACTAATCAGAGCGTCCTTCATGTTTCTCTTGTTGTGGTTAGGTGGCCTGTCAGACAGGTAAACAGGTCAAACCTGGTTTGTGTTTTCACAGGTGTCTGATTGAATGTCGTGATGAATACAAATACAATGTGGAGGCAGTGGAGCTTCTGATAAGGAACCACCTTGTTAACATGCAGCAGTATGATGTTCACCTGGCACAGGTACAGTTTCTCTCTCACAGTTTGGCAGCCAGCAGCAGATCAGCACTTTGAGCCTTTGTGTCTGTCTGATCCCAGTCTATGGAGAATGGCCTGCACTACATGGCCGTAGCATTTGCCATGCAGTTGGTGAAGCTGCTGCTGGTGGACGAACGCAGCGTGAGCCACGTCACAGAAGCTGACCTCTTCCAAACAATTGAGACCCTGATGAGGACCTGTGCTCACTCTAGAGCCAATGCACCAGAGGGGTAACCAACCAGAACAATACACACTCATGAAAAATGGATGGATTTCTTTCTGTTGTCCTGCCTCTGGTTTCTGCCCACATTGACTGAGTGAACGATGTTTGCTGCTGCCTCCACTCCTGGTTCACAGGCTGCCCCAGCTGATGGACGTTGTTCGCTCCAACTACGAGGCCATGATTGACCGAGCTCACGGTGGACCCAACTTCATGATGCACTCTGGGATTTCACAGGCTTCAGAATATGATGATCCTCCAGGCCTGAGAGAGAAGGCAGAGTACCTCCTGAGGGAGTGGGTGAACCTTTATCACTCAGCTGCTGCTGGAAGGGACAGCACCAAAGCTTTCTCTGCCTTCGTTGGCCAGGTCAGCTGTGAGCCTCCAACCCTCCAATCCTGACCAGACAAAAGCTTGAGTGCTGATGTCTGTCCTGTCTGCCTCTTTTCTTCCTTTAGATGCATCAGCAGGGGATCTTGAAGACAGATGACCTGATCACACGCTTCTTCCGTCTGTGCACAGAAATGTGTGTGGAGATCAGCTACCGTGCACAGGCTGAACAGCAGCACAACCCAGCAGCCAGTGCAGCCATCATCAGAGCCAAGTGTTACCACAACCTGGATGCCTTTGTGAGGCTCATCGCCCTGCTGGTCAAACATTCTGGAGAGGCCACCAACACGGTGACCAAAATCAACCTTCTCAACAAGGTACACAAACAGTTCTACAAGCTGATGTCGTATCAAGGATCACAGACTATATCAGCAAACATTTAGGGAGGGACAATGATTGACCTTATTTATTCAGAATAAAGGTACGTGCTTTATAAACAGTTGGTTGACACATGATGTTGTTTTGTTGTCAGCAGGTTGTTTGTAATGTTGAAAGCTTTCAGCTCATGACTGAAGGTGGCTGGCTTTGTATCCTCTCAGCTGTTTCTGATGGATGCTTGACATCTAAAATGTCCTGTTCTTCTTCCAGGTGCTGGGGATTGTAGTTGGTGTCCTGATTCAGGACCATGATGTTCGTCAAACAGACTTCCAGCAGCTGCCGTACCACCGCATATTCATCATGCTGCTGTTGGAGCTCAATGCCCCCGAACACGTTCTGGAGACCATCAACTTCCAGACGCTCACTGCCTTCTGGTAGGACATCCCATCATCTGCCCTTGGGCAGAAACCAGTCCTCAAGTAATACGCTTACTAAAAGTCTTCAAGGCAGCTTCTCTGCCTCAAAGCTTCGTTAGAAATAGATACAGATAAACTGTTCAGGAACTTTTGTCCAGCTGTAATCTTATTTGTGGTGCTCTTGTGTTTGTGGCAACACGTGTACACCATGGGCTGTGTTTAGCTACAGGAGACCAAAAGTCCCAACAAGTGCCCAAAAAATACCAGAAGTTGTCAAAGCGTGGCAACATTTAAAACTCAAAGGCACACTGCAGAAGCTGACAGTTTATAAAGCTGATTTTAGTCATTCATTAATGGATTACTAAAGATTTTAAATCTGATCCATGTTGGTGTTGCTTTGTCTCTGGTCTGTGCAGCAATACGTTTCACATCCTGAGACCCACCAAAGCCCCTGGCTTTGTGTACGCCTGGCTGGAGCTCATCTCCCATCGCATCTTTATCGCCAGGATGTTGGCGCACACACCACAGCAGAAGGTAGCAGGAACCGTCACTCTGAAAACACACGTGTGTGTGTGTGTAGGACCAGTATTTTACAGGTTTGACTTGTTGTTTTCCAGGGTTGGCCCATGTATGCACAGCTGCTGATTGATCTCTTTAAGTACCTCGCTCCCTTCCTGAGGAATGTAGAGCTCATCAAACCTATGCAAATCCTCTACAAGGTTCAGTTTCACATAAACAATTCAACAGTTTTTAAGATTCTATCCTTGTGTCAGTTTGTTTTTAGGGTTAATTGTTAAACCTACAACTCTGTGTTGATGTGCTGCTCAGGGCACGCTGAGGGTGCTTCTGGTCCTGCTCCACGACTTCCCAGAGTTCCTGTGTGATTATCATTATGGCTTCTGTGACGTCATTCCACCCAACTGCATCCAGCTGCGCAACCTCATCCTCAGTGCCTTCCCACGCAACATGAGGCTTCCTGACCCCTTCACCCCCAACCTGAAGGTGCACACCTCCCCCTGCCTCTGTTGGAACACCGGCCCAGTCTTCACAACATTAACAAGTGTTTCTGACTCCTGCAGGTGGACATGCTGAGTGAGATCAACATCGCTCCTCGTATCCTGACCAACTTCACCGGCGTGATGCCGTCTCAGTTCAAGAAGGATCTGGACTCGTACCTGAAGACACGTTCACCTGTCACTTTCCTGTCTGAGCTGCGCAGTAACCTGCAGGTAGGACCAGCTTCTGACTGCTGACTGGACCTGTGTTTCCATTCACCAAGAAAATACGCAAATTAGAATTTCAAAAATAAATTTGCTCAATGGAAACACGTCGATTTTGAAAAAAATTGTTTTTCAACAAAATATTTTTGCTCTAGGATGAGGTGGTTTTTCAGCCGTATTAAAATCGGTGTTTTTCACAAAACTGCAATGGAAACAGTTTTTTCACATCACAGGAGTCACGTGATCAACAACCGTCTGTTTCTACTGGTGAAAAAGACGATGAAGAAGATAACAGGAAGTAGAAGTAGTAGTAATATCACAGAAGTAGTATAAAGTAGTAAACTCAGCGACTACAGTTTCCCAAAAACACAGCATACGTAGCCGCTCCCAAGTAGGGACTTGTCTCTGGAAAGCCTCGATAAAAGACGCCGACGTCTCCTCTGATGATGAGCGCTAGTGTCGTGGTAGCAACATGCTATGTGTTTACATCCATCGCTGCCATGTTTGTAATGACTTATCATGAGAACAAACGTATTCACGTGACTTTAAGAACATTTATTACTGCAGTGTTTTCATTAACCTTCAGGCGTCGACCTCAGACGGTTAATGGAAACACTGCAGTTGCAAAACTGTTTTTTTTTTTTTTTCGACATGAACAGAATATGGACAAAGTTTTGCGCACACTTGCAGCTTGTGTGTGTATGACGGCAGACATGATGTCACATGAATTTTCTCTGTCAGGTGTCAAATGAACCAGGAAACCGTTACAACATCCAGCTGATCAACGCTCTAGTGTTGTACGTAGGCACACAGGCCATCGCTCACATCCACAACAAGGGCAGCACCCCTTCCATGAGCACCATCACTCACTCTGCACACATGGACATCTTCCAGAACCTGGCTGTGGACCTGGACACTGAGGGTATGACAGTACTGTAAACCCAGAACCTGGTTGTAGATGGTAAAATGTGTACCAAGTGGATCAGGATCCTGTCTTTGTGTTTGTAGGGCGATACTTGTTCCTGAATGCCATCGCCAATCAGCTGCGGTACCCAAACAGCCACACTCACTACTTCAGCTGCACCATGCTGTACCTGTTTGCTGAGGCCAACACCGAGGCCATCCAGGAGCAGATCACCAGGTGAGCCTGTCTGATCTGAGCTCTGTGAGCCCGTGGGCCTCAACAACACCAACCCTTTTCCTGCTCTTCCAGAGTCCTGCTGGAGAGGCTGATAGTGAACCGGCCTCACCCCTGGGGGCTTCTCATCACCTTCATTGAGCTGATCAAGAATCCTGCCTTCAAGTTCTGGAGTCATGACTTTGTGCACTGTGCCCCTGAGATTGAAAAGTAAGCTTGTGTTGTGTCGGAGGCGTTCAGGTGACGTCAGCTGCAGCTTGTTGATGGTTTCGTGTGTCTCCAGGCTGTTCCAGTCCGTAGCCCAGTGCTGCATGGGCCAGAAGCAGGCTCAGCAGGTGATGGAAGGAACTGGAGCCAGTTAACCTGTGAGCCAGCTTGTAGAGAGACGCCGTGGCCTTGAGCCAGCCTGCCACCACCACACACACCTCCCACTGTACTGCTGCCACTGGGTGGACTGGTTCCCACAGTTACAGTAGACAGAACTGCTCAACCATGGAGAGTTGGTTTTCTTTGGGTTTTTCTCCGTTGGCTTGACATGGAGAGTGACGGGATTTACTGTTGAATAGTTATTTTGGAGTTTTTGTTGTAAATATTAATAAGAGGAGAGCAGGGAAGTCAGGAAATGGATGCATTTCATGTTTCAGCTAAAATGTGTCTGTATTTTCACTCACTACCAAAGTCCTTAGTTTGTTTCCTTCCCTCAACAATCCTGTTTGTGTTTCAGAGGCTGCAGAGAAATACTGCCTGCTACTTTGACTTTCTTTATTTGTCTTGTTTTTGATTGGGACTGAAAGTTGTGGTTAAGTCTCAGGTGTGGTGGTAGAGACTGTTTTCTGATGGTTTGTCCATTTGAAACTGGTTCTGAACGTCTCTCCCTGGCACTTGTACAATTGTGCAAAGTGATGGTGACATCATAACTTGTATAAAGATCCAAATTGGAAAACAACAATAGAAGGACCAATACAGCCCATTTTGTAACATTTTGAATGTTTTGTAAATGTATTGGTCCGTGTGTTGTATTTTGTAGTTCTTTAGTTCTTGCTACTTAACTGCAGTCTGCATACAGAAAGAAAATAAAGCATTCAACTGCATCCTGGTGTCATTTCTTCAGAGGGCTGAGCTGCTTTTAAACTTCATCAAAGACTAAACACAATACAAAACACAAACATCTGCAGCAGGGACACACAAACCCATCTACCTGACACACACAGACACACACACACCACATGGGCACAAAAACATCAAAATTAGCACAGAAACAGTGCTATATAACATTTTAGACACATTCTAGACAGTTTATCAGCTAAAAAAGTTAATTTTGGGGTAAGTTACTCTTTAAGAGTTGTTATTTTTATTTATTTATGTTTTTGAAGGGGAACAAGATGAGGAGCGACAAGAAACCCTCAGAAGACTTTTTGCTCCAACTGAAAACCGGTGGTTAGTTACCTGTGGGACAGGTGTGGCTGCAGAGAGCAGCTTTGTCTGTGGGAGGAGGGGTTTCCTGACAGGTGCTGTCGGTTACATCCAGGACCAGGTAAAGCCACGGCACTTCATTTCCACAACATTTAACTGTTTAAACATGGTTAGTGGACTTTTAGTTAGCTTCACAGAGTCAAAGTGCCAGGGCAGCCACAAAATAAACTAAATTAGTTTCAGACGCATGCGCCCACGCTTGAAGAAAACCAAATTTACAGTCCTTGATGATTTGGGGCTGCATGTCAGGCACTGAGGAGATGCCACAGATGAATGTACAGGAAGTTCTGACAAAAGATAATTTCTTATTTTATTTTGTCCACCGTTTTTGTAATGAGTGAAAAATCATAAAAAAACTCAAATGGTTATAAAACCATTTTTTAACTCAAAGAAAAGTCTGAAGACACACAGTGTGTCCAGCTGCAGAGCGTCTGGATTTTAGATCAAACCAAGACCAAAATAACTGAAGACACTGAACGCCTGAAGCAGGTTAAACTTTGTTTTTTTGTTTTGTTTTTTGAGGAATTGTTTTGGAAAATCTGGCTGACATTTTCTGGAAAATCCTAAATATTAAAACTAAACTAATTTTCAATTATTTCAAATGCTCCCCTAACCTCACTGTATCTTTACTAACTGGTGTTTCTTCCAGTCAAAATTACACAATTTTAAATTCCATGTTTATCATAAATTAATGAACTCTCAATGGTTTTTTTCTGTCGTGTTTAAATGTGGTCCGTGTACTTCTTGGTCATTTGATTTTTCTTTTAAAAACAATGAAAAACAAACGTTTTTTTTATTTTAAAAACTGATACTGGAAAACAATAAATAAATTGTTTTTCTTTTTTTAAACTCCAAAAATGGAAAAACAGACCCTCTTCTTGTTTTTACCGTACCAGAAATACTTTTTTGTTTTGTTTTTTCAAAGAATATTTCCCATCCACTTTGTGTGAAACACAGTGGAGCTACTTTAACCTCACAACAAATCTTGTCTGAGGACACGACTGCACACGAACTGTTTCAGGTGAAACCTAGATGCACATTGATCTAATGAAGTCATTGTGTCTATATGATCAATCTTAATACCTTTTCCTAATTACTAGACCCTGTTATTTTATGTCTATGCAGACACACCTGACATGTTTCGATGAGTACTTCTGTCTTCATCAGAAACATCAGCTGTGACACCTCTGATGAAGACAGAAGTACTCATCGAAACATGTCAGGTGTGTCTGCATAGACATAAAATAACAGGGTCTAGTAATTAGGAAAAGGTTTAAGATAGATGCACATCAGTTTACTCCAGCCCTTCTTTCCATAACCATGTGAAACAGCAGCAGATTGCAGTAGAACACAATCCAGCCAACGTAACGATGTTGAAAACTGATGAGATAAAGCAAAAAATTAAAGTGAGCAGAGCGTGTGTCTTGAGTTGCCATGACAACCATGGTAAACTTCTGGTTTGGCAAAGATGAAAAGATTGTCCATACATGTCAACCCCTTTCAGCGTTTACCTGTATAAAGAGCCTCAAAAATCCATAAGTTTTGCTAAAATTCTGTACAACTAGCCATTGTAGCATTGGGGAATTAGCGTTGTGTATTCTGTAGCTTTGGGGAAGTCAATTCTAATAAAGTCAACAGCACTGCTTCTCCTCTTCCTCTTCCTGTACTTTCTCATTTCCTTTCTATCAATCTATTTTTTCCCACACTTATGAAACTCCTGTTTCTGTCTCTCCCCCGTGTATTTACTATAAAACCGCTGTGAAGAGGACAGAGGTGATTGCTCTAAGACTGCAAGGGAAGCTCAGCTTCCCCTAAAATGTAAAAAAATAAGTGATAAATATACACTGTTGTGTGTTCATGTCATTGACTAAACGTGCTACAACGAGCTCAACTTTTGTTCAGAATCATCTTATCACAGTAACGACACAACTTTCCTCTTCCTCATTCCTGCAGCTTCACAACTTTAAACAGTCGGACGCTCAGCGTCTGCAGAGCTCATTAGTGATGCAAAGACTGCAGCTAAACGAGACGAGTCATTGGATAAATGCTGGCTTTGTCCCGCCCATCGGACGCTCAGCGTCTGCAGAGCTCATTAGTGATGCAAAGACTGCAGCTAAACGAGACGAGTCATTGGATAAATGCTGGCTTTGTCCCGCCCCCAGACGCTCAGCGTCTACAGAGCTCATTAGTGATGCAAAGACTGCAGCGAAACGAGACGAGTCATTGGATAAATGCTGGCTTTGTCCCGCCCCCAGACGCTCAGCGTCTACAAAGCTCATTAGTGATGCAAAGACTGCAGCGAAACGAGACGAGTCATTGGATAAATGCTGGCTTTGTCCCGCCCCCAGACGCTCAGCGTCTACAGAGCTCATTAGTGATGCAAAGACTGCAGCGAAACGAGACGAGTCATTGGATAAATGCTGGCTTTGTCCCGCCCCCAGACGCTCAGCGTCTCTGGGGGTCTATGGAGCAGTGGGCGGGTTCGGACGCCCAGATTCTGCATGATGATTGGATGATCTGTCTGAGCCTGAATCCCTTTTTGATTGACAGCGAAATGAACGAATCAGAGATCTTTTGGTGTAAACATTCAGTGGAGCAGTTTTTAGTTTCGTTTCTTTTCGGAGCTGAACCAGAGACTTTTCTAATCCTCTTAGCTGCATTTTCTTCGTTAAAAACAACCAGCAACAAATCAAGTTTTTATTTCTGGTGGGTTTTATTGTAGCTGCTTGGGTTTGGTTAAGGATACCCTGCAGGCTCTGACATGTCGGATTAATTTAAAAATTAGGTTTTGAAAAAATCTGAAAGACTTGGAAAAAATCTGTGATTGCTCTTTATGTCCGTTTACCTGCAAAATGACGTAAAATCCTTATAATTTACGGACAATCTGTACAACTTGACATGTATGATGGTCTGTTTTCCATTTTCATTGTTTTCAAAAAATTTGAATGACCAAAAAGTAGACAGACCTTATATATGTATATTTATTTTTTCACTAAATGTATGAAAATGGTTGAAAGCTCAGGTAGAAGTGTGTTTATTGACTGTGAGCAGATTGTTGTAAAGCAGCAGAAATCAGGAGTTTGTCAGCTCCATCAGTCTGTACAGAATCATCTTCTGTCCAAAGCGGACCTGCAGCGCCCTCTTCTGCCTGCTGCTCAGTCTGTCAAAGGCTGCTTCGTCTTCCATCAGCTCTCTGTCTCGCTCCACCAGTGTTTCCTCTGTTTCCCCGTCTCCGTATGACATCAGCGTGAGCCGAGCTGCTTCATGAATCAGTCGTTTCCATGAAACCTCTAATTTGGAAAGAGCTTCGATGGAGAACGCCTGAGAATCGTCATCCTCTCCATGATCTTCCTCCCATCCTTCATTGTCTTTGAACTCAGACAGCTCTTCTTTGGACAGACACAACACCTGAGAGAAGAAGAAGGAGGAAGGCAGCGGTGGTTTCTGTGTTCTCACTTTGTTCTGCATGTAATCTGACAATGGTTATGCTCCATCACCTTCAGTGCAGTGTGCAGCTCCGAGTCAGTGAGGCAGCCATGTTTACTGAAGACCATGGTTCCATTCTCCTCCATCATCTGACAGAGCACCTCCCACCGCTCCTCCACCAGCTCCTGCTCTGAATCACACTGAGCTTCTGACAGGAGACAAGACACAAAACTCAAAAACATTCAGGATGTGAATCAGAAGAAGTTTAAACCTTTGTGTGGTCCACACATTAAACAGTTAAACTTTATGTAAACCGAACCGTTTTCCACAAATTCGTCTAATAAATTAATTCTGCTGGTGTTAAACCCTTAATATTACACGTTACAGTATTTACACAGTTGTAAAGTAACTAAGTACAAATACTTTGTTACTGTACTTAAGTAGAATTTTTGTTTATCTGTACTTTACTTGAGTAATTATTTTTCAGCGTACTTTTTACTTTTACTCATTACATTTTTACACATTTATCTGTACTTTCTACTCACTACATTTTTAAAAAGGTAAGAAGTAGAAAGTTGTTACTCCTGTTTTATTCTGAGTTGTTACTTAATAAATCCTCTCCTGATAAACTGTGTCTCCTATAGAGTGAATTTAATTGTGTTTGGATGAGAAGTATAAATATATACCATTCTGACACACTATTAGCTTGTACACAACCCATCATAGCTGCACGCTGTTAGAAAATATAGTTTTTGGAGAAGTCACCTCCCAATAAATGTCATTTTGTAAAATCTAACTGCTCACTTTTACTCAGTACTTTTACTTTTAATACTTAAGTAGATTTTGTCAGAAATTACTTTTGATACTTAAGTACAAAAAATTTCTGATACTTTAAGACTTTTACTCGAGTAATATATTTAGAGAAGACTAACTTTTACCGAAGTATTTTTATGACAAGATACTTGTACTTTTACTCAACTATCACTTTGAGGTACTTTATACAACACTGAGTATTTTATTTTCCCTCATCTCTCAAGTCCAGGGTCCTTTAAAACCTCTCCTTGGCTCTCTTTGGGTCCTTTATACATATTTTTTGTAGAGTAAGTTTATTGCTGCTTTATGTAATTTGCACATTTCATTTTTGTCACACTACTTTGTTATAAATACTATACATGTATATGATCTTCCACATTTAATTCATTACTTTACCAGTTCTCTAAAAGAGATTACCTTGTTTGGCAGCTTTGTAGAGGCAGGAAACAGGGATGTCTGCAGTGTCGTTGCTGTTGCTTAGATATGACTCTGTGAAGCCGTACATGTGAAGAAGTTGCCAGTTAGCCACCTGGCCATAGGTGTTAAACACCTCCTCACCTTTATTGATGCCACGCACAGAAACCATCCTCAGACTGTCCTGGGGAATGAAGATGAAATACAGTTAAACTTTTGGACAAATAACCTTTATCTTAGTGAGTTTACTATTGTAATACGACCAGTGAGCATTATATTTCAGACTTTAATCATTACCAAATGTTCAATGTGTCCTGTTTCTCAAAGTTTGAAATGGGCTAGCCCCTCCACCAATAAATGATTTTATTTCTAAATATATCAGGGCCAGTATTTATCAAACTTCTTAGAATTCCTCTTCAGAATGCTGCTAAGAGTGGACTTAAGTGTAAAATAATTCTTAGTTAAAAGCTGAGAGTAAAAGTCAGTTATCAAGTGTCTCAGTCTGACTTTAAGTGAAGTGTAGGAGTAATTCTTAAGTGTCAGTCTTACTTTAAGTGAAGTGTAGGAGTAATTCTTAAGTGTCAGTCTTACTTTAAGTGTAGGAGTAATTCTTAAGTGTCAGTCTTACTTTAAGTGAAGTGTAGGAGTAATTCTTAAGTGTAAGTCTCACTTTAAGTGTAGGAGTAATTCTTAAGTGTCAGTCTCACTTTAAGTGTAGGAGTAATTCTTAAGTGTCAGTCTCACTTTAAGTGTAGGAGTAATTCTTAAG